CCTAAACCCTAAACGCCTAAACCTAGGTCAGGAATTATAGGCTATGGTGCAGGATTTGCCTCTCTCGCTCCACTTGCCCGCAAGTCAGTGGCCTCTACACGTAGCGAGTGGAGAGTGACGACGACGGAGCTGTAGACATTTGCAGTTACAGCTGGGTTTCAGGGATCAGGGTTAGGGCAATTGAGGGCTTGAAGTTCTCGGCCTTTATTTTTTTGATTTTAGTTCTTTGTGTGAGGCTCAGGCTTTTGAGGAAGCAGTCGTCGTCTATGACCAAGCCCAGCCCGCCTGCCTCAGAGGAACGGCCAGAAACCCTTGAGGGACCGCAATGCCAGCAGTATACACTTTAAGGGTGAAAGGACCCAAGTAATAGGGTTTCAGGGCCCAAATACCGTTAATACTATAGTATTCGGGCCCTAAAACCTTGTTATTTGGGTCCTTGGACCCTTAGGGACATTGAAAATCAACCCCCTGTTATGGTTGTTTGGCTGCTGGGGATGTCCTGCGTGCGGACTCTTGCGTGTTCTTTCAGAGGGAGAGAGCTAGGGACAGAGGGAGGGGGTGGAGATGTTGATGCTAAACTTCCTACTTGACCGTAGTCGCTTTTAGTACCATGTAATTACCATGGTATAGGCTACTTGGGATCATGTAGGAGTTGTATTCTCCACCAGAGGGCGAGAGATTGCGCGCAGTGCATGTGACCTGTTTCGTACTGGCCAAGCGGCAGCGGACTCATAGAACTGAATCTGGCTTGCTGTTAAGGAACTTAAGCTAGATTGCCATAACATGGGTATAGAGCAAATAACAGGGTTTCCTTCTTATAAGAATTCATACAACTTAGTTTTGCTGACGCTTAACTTACTGGAGGTTAGTAGGGAGTAAGGGAATATACTGGAATATATTAAATATGGTTATATAGTATTCCCTACTTACCCCCCCCCCCCAGTAAGCTAAGAAGCTCATTGCTTGTTTGTTTCTACATTTTGTGTTGCACGCTCTCTATGCCAAAAGTAGGCGGAACCCCAAACCCTAAACCCAATATAACCTTCATATAACCCAGTTGTAGTGGATGGGACTTGCCATGGCCCATGATGTGCGTGTTGCCCAGCTGGCCTTTCCATGAGCTGCAGGGCAGACCTCATCCAGAGGTGGGTTTAGGGTTTTAGGGTACAACACATGCCAAGCATGAGGGCTTTAGGGTTTAGGGTTACCCCCTAAAAAATTCATGAAGCTCCATGCCCCAGCCCCAAGACACTTAGATGGGGATGTGTAGGAATATCTTACGCCAATAACGGAGAATCACATTGAAAAGAAATGGTAAATGACATGTAAACTGGCTTTATGTTAGGGGTCTATGGGTATAATGCTACCCTCATCCCCAAACGCCCATAAACCCTATACAACCCCATTATAGTAGTTTCCATTTTCTTTTCCATTATCTCTACATAAGCAACTAAACACTCAACCCTAAACCCT